AAGTTTTCTTTTGAGTTTCCCTTCGATTGAGTATGTAATTTGAAAGTTTTTTGGCTGTTCTGCTCTTTGTGCACAGGTGTAGAGAGCATAGCGCAATTTGATGTAGTAGTCATTTCGTTCAGTATATTGTTTGATATATTAGCGATTGAACTTACCGAAGTTGTTGGAAGTAAAGATAAGGCATGAGTAGACGAAACGGATATCAGTTGATGTAGAACTCAAGGTGTTAGTTATCGAGTTTGCAGTGCATACTGTGACGCTATTTGTAGTACATGTTGATGTTGAGCAGGAATGTGCTATTAGATTCGTTGGGGAAAGTCCCAGCGTGGGCGTATGAGGTGAGCTTATCAGTGGGGTACGGCATTGTTCACTCCAAGAGTGAGATATACTACCTAGTTTTTGGTGTAAACAAGTGTCGTAGTTTTTTTCAATTGAGTTTGAATTGTTTTCGGCCTGTAGCTGTTTTTGGCTTCGTGTTGCTAAGGGACTTCGTTGAACACTCATTATTTGAAATTGTGTTAGTTAATGCTTGGTTTTCGTTGATCTTATTTTGCTATGCACTGGAGCGTTCGCATAAATTAGCGTATCGCCCATGCAGCAGAACAAGTGATTTTTGAGTAGTAATTATTTTAAAAAGATTAAATTATTTTTAAAAAAGAATCGGTTAAATTAAAATGTTAATTAGTATAAAAATGTACCATATATCACATTTGATTTTGTTTAAGTTGTATTTTAAATGCAAATAAATATTCAAATATTAATATAAATAAATTTTTTATTATTATTTTAATAAAATAAATATTAAATATTAATATAAGTGTTCAAAATTTTCACAAAATAACACGTATTAAATTTATGGATAATTAATTTTATCCAAAATTCGTTTTAGCGTTTTGCAACACTTATTTTAGTTTATTATTTTAAGTTTAAAAGCTTTTATTTGCTGTCTCTATCAGCTTTTATGTGTTTGTGTATAGAAAAACCAGACACTAGTGTAACTATCTGTCTCTGTCAGATTTGTTTAATTTAAATTAAATTTACGTTCCAAAATAAGGCGAATTATTAGAAGAGCGCCAAAATCTTTATGCTATCACAATATAAATACGAACAATTAATTTGAACATTTATTCACTATTTCAATAGTTTCCGCATATATACCGCGATTCAGCACTCAATAACTTCGTTTATCTTGAACTTTGTATGTAGTTATCGCGCTAAACACCCGCTAACTAGTAAAACTTTGTAAGAGCACTATAAAACACGTCCGTACGTGGAGAAGACTATATGTATGCAATGGGTTAAATTTCATTGGAGTGAATGTTAGGTGGTTTCTTAAGAAAGTGGTTCAACTTTAACAGATTACTAAAAAGAAAGGTGCGCTTTTTACTTCAAGCTGTTGAATATTAATTAACGGCTGGACGGTCAGCTCTTTTTAGGCGGGAAGTAATAGATAGAAGTGCGAGATTTCTTGCTAAGGGATTAACATGCTCTGTCAGCCTTTTATTGTATTTTTTTCTTATATTGTCAAATTCAGCTTTAACTAGGGGAATATGTAGATCTCGGTGTATACTTTCATTCCTAATATACCATGGGGCACCAGTGATAATTCTTAGTATTTTTGACTGAGCTCTTTGTATAATTTCAATATTTGAAGCACTAGCATTGCCAAATAGCTGGATACCATAAGTTCATATTGGTTTTATGATACTGTTATACAAGAGTACTTTATACTCTAGGCACAGGGAAGATCTGCTATTAATGAGCCAATGCTACTTAGAGGCTAGGAGCTTCATCTGAATTTTTTTGGCTTCAATATGTTTGCGCCATTAACAAACATATGTTTGGCATTAAAAAGTCTTGTGATAAAATTTATGGCCAAAAGGGGTAAGTTTTTTATTATGATGGGTGAGATATTATCATATCCCGGTGCTTTTTTGCAATCTAACTTGTTTGTGATTATTTGAACAAGATCATTGGCCGTGATATTCATGTCAATAGATGGTGCTGATGGATCTTGAGTGGGAAAGTCATATTGTCCTGTTGCAGGATTTGGTTGGAACACCTCTTTTAGGTAATCAGCAAAAACGTTAGATTTTTCTTCATCACTTCGCGCCCAGTTTCCAAGAGAGTTTCTTATTGGAGAATCAGAGTCTATGGGAGAATTTATACCTTTGCTAGCATTCCACAAAGATGAATGGTTTTTGCCATTTGGACATAGATTTTGAATACAATTATATTGTCTGACTTTGACTTCCTTGCTTAATGCAGATCTAAGTCTCCTTTGGGCTTCCTTAAATAAGTTTTGCGCTAAAGGGGACCTAGATTTTTGCCATTCACGCCTTAATCTACGTTTTTGTAAAACTAAATTCTCTATGTCACTATTTGTAAGTACTCTATTGAATCTGTAAATTTTATTGCCTTTAGGGGTGGAGTTTTCTGCTGCTGAAATCAGAATTGAGTTTAAAACCGAGGTTGCGTTCTCAATATGAGACTTACACTTTATCTTGTAATTTGTGTGTATGTGTGAGTTAATATACTTTTTATATTTGAGCCAGTTTGTTCTAGGACTTGTGAGGCTATAGGAACAGTCATATAACTGAGGACCATCAAGTAAGCAAAATGTAACTGGAGAATGGTCAGAAGACAAATCGCAGCTAGTGTATGTTGAGATAAAATTTTTGCTTATGCCTTTGGTTACGGCGAAATCTATTAGGTCTGGTATTTTATTGTTATCAGCAGGCCAATATGTTGGCTGCCCAGAGGAGATTACGTCTAGTGCATTTTTTCTATTTAAAATAGAATTGTAGAGCTGTTTTCCTTTTGGATTACAGAGTCGTGAACCCCAATACGTGTGCATGGCGTTGTCTCCCACCGCAAGAAATCTTTCACCTAGAGTTAAGAAGTAATTCGTAAGTTGGGTCTCAGTAATGTTGAAGCGTGAAGGACAGTAAACTGCCGATAAAGTTAAATTTTTTCCTTTGTGCTTAAGGCATATTGATGTGGCTTGCATATAATTATGATCATATGTACCTAGAAAATTGTGTTTTAGACGCTTTCGTATCAAAATACCTGTATCACCATGTGCTTTGCCAGGAATAACCAGGAATAGAAAAGAAATTTTTGTTTGTTAGATTTTTTTTGAGCAAAGCATTACATCCACACTTTCTCGGGACATGAAATTAGTGAGATGCATAATTGAAGAATACTTTCTTTGCTTCATAATTTGGTGTTTCAGAAAAAGTAAAAGCAATTTTTCTGTTATTTTATGTTTAAGTTTTTGCAGTAAAAAGAATACAAATAAAAAACAGAGTACAATCGTTGAAAATTGCATTATTTTGTTTTTTTCATTTTTCCGTTCCGTTTTGTAGTTGTTGCAACATTTTATTACAATTTAGTTAATGACGAATCCGTTAATTTCAATAAAATCCGTTGTATGTATAAATTAATATTATGTAAAATTAAATATTCAATTTAATTATATCTAATGGAAACACACAGGCTAAGTTATCACATTTAAAACCAAACACAAATTATGAGTACCATTGCGGTGGATCTTTAGGTTGGTCAGCAAAGTTTGAATTTCGCACAGTACCCCAAGGTGAAAATTGGTCACCAAGTATCGTTCTTTTTGGTGACATGGGTAATGAAAATGCTCAGTCGTTAGCGCGTCTTCAGCAGGAAACGCAACGAGGAATGTATGATGCAGTCATTCATATAGGTGATTTTGCTTACGATATGAATACAAACAATGCACTTGTGGGTGATGAATTTATGCGTCAAATTGAAAGCGTAGCTGCGTATGTGCCTTACATGGTGTGTCCGGGCAACCATGAAGAAAAATAGTAAGTTTGTTTAGTAAAAATACTTTTTTATATTAAAACTCTTTTTAATTAAAAGCAATTTTTCAAACTATCGAGCTCGATTTAGTATGCCAGACGACTCAGAAAACCTTTTCTACAGTTTTAATTTAGGACCAGTACATTTTATAGGATTTTCTACCGAATTATATTATTTTTTAAATTATGGTTTAAAAACGCTTGTATTTCAATATGAGTGGTTAGAGCGTGATTTGCAAGAGGCTAACAAATCAGAAAATCGTTTAAAACGTCCTTGGATAATTGTTTTTGGCCATCGACCAATGTATTGTAGTAACGAAAATGATAACGACTGTACACATTCAGAAACTTTAACACGTGTAGGTTGGCCTTTTATACATATGTTTGGACTTGAACCACTCTTCTATCAGTATGGTGTTGACGTTGAAATATGGGCACACGAGCATTCATACGAACGTCTGTGGCCAATTTATAATTATAAAGTATATAATGGTTCTTTAACTGAACCTTATCGTAATCCTGGGGCACCTGTACATTTAGTAACTGGATCCGCTGGTTGTAAGGAGGGTCGGGAACCTTTCAAATTTACTATTCCGGAATGGAGTGCTTTCCATAGTCAGGTTCTTAGTTTTTTTTTAATGTACTTAATGTTTTTATTATATTTGATTACTTCGCAGGACTATGGTTATACACGCATGAAAGCTCATAATCAGACACATTTGTATTTTGAACAGGTTTCTGATGACAAAAACGGCGATATTATAGATTCATTTTGGATCATAAAAGACAACCATTATAATTACGAAAGACGTGTCTAAAATATATTATAAGTTGCACTAATTTACTCTGAATTTAATTGACTAGTTATTTATACTATATACATTTTGATTTGAAATTGGGTATTAGAAGTGTTGACTGTTTGAAGTAGCATACATAACGCAAAATGAATGTTATTTACAATTAAAATGTCAGAACTCAGCATATCACAACGTTTTTTATGCTGTTAAAGAGATAAAATAAGTTTTTATTGATAATTATTTGGATATTGAACATTATATGTAAACAAAAAGAACCCACATTTTATCTGGTTGTAACTAATCTATAAATATAATTTGATTTTCTTTAAATGCGTTGCGTTTTATTGTTATATTCAAAATTTTAAAGAAACCACACAAGATATTGTTGTAACCTGGTCTACTCGCGACAACACAAATTTTTCAAAATGTGAATATGGCATCAATAGTTTTCAATTTGAACAAAAATCGAAGCATATACCATTTAAATTTGTTGACGGTGGCAAAGGAAGGAGCATCCAATATATACATAGGGTAAGTTTTTAAGTTTTTAGTATTTGCTGACATTTACATATGTACTAAGTTTTTGTAAATAGGTTTCGCTGTCAAACTTAGCTGCTGATTCACGATATATATATCACTGTGGCAGTTATTTGGGTTGGTCGGCAATATATTGGTTCCATACACCAAAAAATCATACTATGTGGTCTCCATCAATTGCAATATATGGTGATTTGGGAAACCAGAATGCACAGTCATTACCACGTTTGCAACAGGAAGCTCAACGCGGGTTGTATGACGCTATTATTCATGTGGGCGATTTTGCTTATGATATGCATTCAGAAAACGCCGAGATTGGTAATGAATTTATGCGCCAAATTGAATCTGTAGCTGCTTACTTACCATATATGGTATGTGCTGGTAATCACGAAGAAGCCTAGTATGTTCTAAATTTGGTGCTATTTGAACGTATTTTTAATTATTAAAAATTATTAGCAATTTTTCGAACTATCGTGCAAGATTTAACATGCCTGGTGGCTCAGAGAATCTCTTCTATAGTTTTGATTTGGGATCTGTACATTTTATTGGTTTTTCCACAGAAGTTTACTATTTTCTTCAGCTTGGACTAAAATCGCTAATATTTCAATATGAATGGCTAGAACGAGACTTAATCAAAGCTAACAAGCCGGAAAATCGATTAAAACATCCGTGGATTATTACTTTTGGGCATCGGCCAATGTATTGCAGCAATGATAATGGTGATGATTGTTCAAAATATAATACAGTTGTTCGAAAAGGTTTGATTTCAATATATTTATAATAATATGTAAGAAAAGATTTAAAGCCATAGATAATTATAAAAAAATAAGGTTAAATTTTTAATTTAAATTTCGACATTTCGATTCTCGCAACTTTTTTTTAGGTTAATAGGACAGTCAATGACATACACACAGCAAAAAAGTCTGCAGTCACCTACAAAATCTATTTTAAATGTCTTTGCATAGACTCAACCAGCTTTGCAGTGCGTTTATTTTTAGCCATTCTTCCTTGATGACACTTCTTAACATATCCTTACTGGAAATCGAGTGCTGTCGAATCTTATTTTTCAAATAAACCCACAGATGTTCTATGGGATTAAGGTCTGGTGATTCCGGTAGCGTTTGAAGTTGTCTGGAAGTATGGGCCAAATCCGTACGATCGGTGATGTATGCTTAGAATCATTGCCCTGTTGAAACAAGAAGATTGCTTCTAGACCTAATATTCTGTCAGTTTCTTTCAAATTTTATATTTATGGATTGTATGTTGTATAAATTCAAGTTTGCCAGCTCCATTACTTGCTATACACCCCCAAACCATTCCACCTCCACCACCATATTTCACCATTGAAATTAAGTTGTGTTTATCAAAGGATGTACATCATTTTCTCCCCACAAGTTTTCTGCCTTTGATTCCAAATGGCTTACGTCATCTTTTCAAAATTTAACAGTTATTTATCGTTCAATAACACTAATTTCACGTCTTTTATTTTCTATTGTAAAGCTTTGCGGTTTATATAAAAAAATATTTTTAAATTATTAATTTTTAGACTCTTTAGGAAGTCAACTGATAATTAAATATCATTTAGTGACACATTTATGCTTGCAAGCGAATTTAAATTATTGGTAAGTTTAATTATTAAGAAGTGACCGCAGACTTTTTCTGCTTTAAAAGAATAACTTAATTTTTTATGTTCAAACTTCATTAATGTTTCTTTGGTTAAAATAAATCAGAAAACATAAATTAAGTTGAGTAAAAATTAATGTGTCATGTCAATGTCTGCATTTTCACGATAGTTTCGCATGTGTTCTGAGAACAAAAGTACTATATTAGGCTATTTCGGTGTCTCGAAAGTATGGCAAAAAACAGCAAGTCGCTGGCATATACAGGCCAAAATGTACGCAAAACAACAACACTATTTTCTCTATCTAGGCCTGTAGTCAGTAAAGAAAAAAGTGTTACCAACGCAATAAGTTGACTATTTTAAATCTTCATTGGAAATTCCAACGAATATTGCAATCATATGTGAAAAATCATATGTAAACAAAACTTCAAACAATTCAAAAATTGCGAAAAAAGGTTTTAATGTCAGGAATCTTGCGATATTACATACCTTTATTCAAATTTAAATTATCACACACACCTTTCTCCATAAATAAAAAACCAATCTCCAAAACTAAACTGACTTCTTACCCATATATTTCTTCTTATTTACTGTCAAAGCAAAAGATTGCTAGATTGCTTTTAAATGACATTAGAAATTATATTACAACTCGGCCATCCTGATGTAATGATTTACCACAATCATCCAACAAAATTTCTGGCCTCAAATTTTGATCAGGGCCCGTTATCCATTCCTTTATTCGTGCAGTCTCAACAACGCCATCATATGGCATTTGCGTAATCTGACAATTGTCTACATCTCGAACAACATAACGATCGTTAGGCAAAACCTTATGTGTGACGTATGGACCTCGATATTTTTCAGAAAATTTCTTGCTTTTTCCGGCAGTGGTGTCTATATGTCGAATCACAACAAAGTCATCCTCAAAATATTTTTTTGGCGGTTTACTCTTTGTGAAATATTTAAAGTTTTTTTTCTGGGAGCTATCAATATATCCTGCAGCTTCCTGGTGCATTTGTTCAAGATCTCTAACATGTGCTCTCTGTTTCTTTTCGGATAAATGCTCTGTCAAATAATTTATTACTTCGCCCTTTTGATCTACACCGAATAAAAGTTGACTTGGTGTCTGTTTAGACGAACTATGTGTAGAGTTGTTAATGGCAAATTCCACCTTTGGTAACATCCTCATCCAATTGGCATGATTAATTGGGTAAGTCATTTTACTCAACATGGTTTTTAGAACACGATTTACTCTTTCAACTTGGCCATTGGCTTGAGCAGAGGCCAGCGCGACCTTAACATGATTGATATTATGCTTCAGTAAAAATTCACTAAACTCTAATGAGGTAAAACTTGTACCTCTATCACTTATTATCCTTTTAGGGCGGCTGTAATTTTTAAAATACTTTTCGAGACTAGCTATTACTTCTTTGGTACTGGTTGACTTAACTGCAAAAAATAACTGCAATTTTTTATAAACTTCTCTATCTTTAACTTCATGTGCCGGAACCAATAGTTCTTTCTAACTTCCTCATACGCCTTATCTATTCCTTGATGGCACATCTTTTCATGAACGAGACGAATAACATTGTCTTCCATTTCAGCTGGAACATATAATTGTAAATTATTATCTGTTTTTACTCTAAAAACCAACCCATCTCTTAGCTCGTATCCGTCAACAATTTCGCTTTGCAATTGCTCTCGTAATCTTACAATCTCACTATCGCGGTTTTGTAAAACCTGTATATTGAAATCTAAGTCTTCCTGCTTAGCAACAGCCACCGTTTTACATGGAATTCCTATCATACCGTCATAGTCTTCAACAATTTCATTAGGCTTATTAGATTGAGTATCATTATCATCTTCAGAGTAGGTACACATTACAAATTTATTTTTAATTCTCGTAGAGTAGTCTTCCTTCTCTGTTTCTTCACCTTTAAAACATCGACTTAATGCATCCGCATGACTCATTGAAATACCACCTCGATGTTGTATCTTAAAATCAAAGTGCTCAAATAAAAGTGCCCACCTTGCTATTTTTGGACTGATGTTTTTCTTTTCAAACGTTAGTGATAGTGCACAGCAGTCAGTAACTATTTTAAATGGAATACCTCTGTGATAGTTTTCAAAACGATTGAGAGCATGCACTATGGCCAAGGTTACTAACTCGAAGCTGTGCATTCTTGACTCCTCTGGTAATGTTGCTTTAGAATAGTAATATACCGGATGAAATTTTCCATCATTTTGTCGCTGCAAAAGTACTGCTCCAAAACCTAACTTGCTAGCATCAGTGTGCAATTCGGTTTCTTTAGTGTGATTAAATATGGCCAAGACAGGTGCTGTAGCGGATATGCTATTTTAGCAAAGTTTGGAAAAAATTTGCGAAAATATGAAAACATTCCCAGACATGAACGCATGTCCCGTAATGTCTTCGGCATTGGGTAGTGCATAATCGTCTTCAAATGAGAGCTGTTTGGTAAAATACCCTTTTCACTTGCTTGATAACCCAGAAACTCGGCGGTCTCATAAGCAAACTTAGATTTATTGAGATTTAACTCTAAACCGACCTCAGCCAAACGATGAAACACCTGAATTAATGCATGTATATGTTCCTCTAAAGTTTCGGTTGCTACTTCAATATCATCCATATAAACAATAATTTTACCTTGTGCAATTAGATCTTGTAGTTCTTGATGAATAAATCGCTGAAAAACAGCAGGTGCGTTTTTTAATCCGAACGGCATACGATTGTATTCGAATTGATCAAGAGGAGTTACGAAAGACGTGTATTTTCTTGAATCTGTCGCAACCTTAACGTGAAAGAAACCATTTCTAAGATCTAATGTCGTGAAAAACTTTTTACCGTCTAGGTATTCCAAACATGTTTCAATTAATGGCAAGGGATGATTGTCACGAATTGTATTCTTGTTGAGAACTCTATAATCAACACATTTTCTAAATTCTCCGTTCTTCTTTTTTCAACAAGTCACTTATTATTTTCTGTAATGCTTCACGCTCGTCAAAGGATAGTTTTCTTGGTGCAAAGTGGAAAAACATGTCAGAGGTCAGTTTTATATTCATTTCATAATTTTCCTGCCTGCCTTCATAATGTGAATTCAAATAATTTAATACAACTTCTCCTTTTTCCTCGACCTTGGATTTTTCTAACATTGGATTAATATCAATGCTATTTGAATCTGTATCAATATTAATCGCCATCAGACGCCTAAGTTCATTTTCAAAAGGATTAATTTCATTTTGTTTTCTGTCAGATGCCCGTGCATCGCTAGTCGCACTACATAAAACAAACTTACTTTTCTCCATTACATCAGTGAACAAAGCGGATCCTGGAACATTTTGTTTAAACTGCGGGCTGGTAGAGGAAAAGTACAACTCTCTTTTATTTTTTTAGGACTGTTTATTAGCATTTTTAAAACAACTTGAAATTTTTGCAAAGTGTCTCGCCCTAGTAGAAGCGGGAGAGGTAAAGTATTATATGGTACTACAAACAAAAACACTTTTTCACATCTATTCTTAAAAATCATCATACAACTTATTTTGCCATAAGTTTTAATTTTAAATTTTCCAAGACCATGATATTGGGTTTCATCTGCCTGCTCTTGAATTGCTACTGGGACTGAAGATTTATGTATTAAGCTAATTGCGCTGCCGATATCAAAAAGAGATAAAACAGTTGTGGTTATGTTACGCACACACTTTGTATCATCAAAAACAACACTTACGTAATTCATAGCCTCTAGTGCAGATGCGACATCATCGACAATATTAGTATCTCCTGCACAATCCATGGTCATAGCAACAGAGGTAGCACTTTTAAGTTTCGGTGTGTATTTTGGATTCGGGCACGACTTGCGATTATGGCCACTCTTCCAGCAGTTATAACAACCATTAATCGGTCGCTCCTCGTACGGACATGTTGGACGACGGTGACCAAATCTAGAACAATTAAAGCAGCGGTTTGCATTTTGCGTTGGATTGCCAGCAAAATAACCAGATGGAAGTTTCACTGTGGTCTTCGTTTCACGGTTGGCATCCGTTGTTCGAACATGGCAACAGCACCCTTTAGTTCATTTAAATTCTTAGCAGTGTTAAACAAAACGAAATCTGGAATACGATTACTTAACCCTTCTAATATAAAAGCAACTAACTCCAACTCCATAACATCACTGCGGTGAGCAATAGATTCCATTTCTATTACATAACGGTGAACACTCTCTGTTGGCTTTTTAGTACGAATGCTAAGTGCCTGATAGACCTCCTGACGGCTAATTGTTCGTCCAAACTCACCAATCAGTTTTTGCTTTAACTCTTCATACGTTAAATAACCTCGTGTTAGTAACAATCTCGCAGCACCAGTTAACGAATTGCGCAACGCCAACAATTTAAATAAGTCATCTGAACCATCTTGTTCAAAAATTTGTTCCAAGTGACGAAAAAAGTCATGAACTGAGTATGTGTGGTCTTCTCCGCTAAATTTTATTACAGCATGCTCAATATCTTGAAAATGTGTTTTATGCTGTTGTATTGGTTGCACACTAGTATCAAACGGCAATACATTTCGGTGTTCCATTTCCTCAATTTCGCATCGCAACCGAAGAATTTCATGGCGACGGCGTATATCAGCAAGCTCTTGGTCATGGTCGTCATGCACAGCATTTCTTTCAACTAACCTCGCACGGCTTGCGGAGTCTCCAAAGGCGGCAATTGTAGAGGTAGTGACAGCGGTAGTGACGACTGAGGAGGAGCCAACAGCTGTTTGTTTGCTGAGGCCTTCAGCATTATTTAGACGACGAGCAATGCAATCTTCGAGCGTACTTCGATTATCTGCAAATATTTGTCGCATCCGTGCAGTAGTTGCTCGTAGCTGAACCTGAATGCCAACAGCCGCTAAAACATCTTGCAACTCTGAGCGATTCATACGGTTCTTCATATCAAATTTAAAATAACACGAAAAGGAAAATAATTTTTATTTGATAAATCCCACTTCTGAAATTTTAATGTCAGGAATCTTGCGATATTACATACCTTTATTCAAATTTAAATTATCACACACACCTTTCTCCATAAAAAAAAACCAATCTCCAAAAGTAAACTGACTTCTTACCCATGTAACGACACGGATTCGTCGTTTTAATTCTGCTGAGGTATTACTCAGTCGCGGTCCGGGTCGTTGCAATAAATTTGTTTTATTGACTAGTTCGAAGCTGGTAAACCAAGGAAAGTTAAAAGACCGTTTGTTTTTATTATTTTAAAATTTTATTTATTAAAAGTTTTCTTAAATAACTTATTTTAAGCTTGACTCTACTCAGTAAGTTTTATCCGAAGACGTTAGAACATCAAAGGTTTGTTTTTCCAAATCTACTCAATTAGTTTCTAGCCAAAGACGTCAAAACATCAAAGGCGTTATACAATCTATTCAATAATTTTTACCCAAAGACGTCAGAACATCAAAGGGTTTTTTCCCAAATCTACGCAATTAGTTTTTAGCCAAAGACGTCAAAACATCAAAGGCGTTTATAAAATCTACTTAATACCTTCTACTGATTTATTAAGCCTTAGCGTCGAAACACCATGGGCTTCTAAAAAGGGACTTAGCGCTGGAGTAGTGATCTACTCACTTCGGTGTGCCGGTGCTAAGTGATTTTTCATATACAAATCTCCGCTATTTATATAAAACACTTTGCTTTGCTTAATTGCACGCACAACCGCACAAGTATAATTTTCGTGCGTGTGGGTGTTCGCTGTGTTGATCGTGCGTATGGATGTTCGCGGTGTTGATCGTGCGTGTGGATGTTCGCGGTGTTTGTTGTGCGTATGGATGTTCGCTGTGTTTTTGTTTCAAATATATAAATCGAGTTTTATCCAGATGATAAAATAATAAAAAAACATTGAGTTTTATGTAGGGCGGAATTTGTACAAAATTCCGTCCTTACACCCATATATTTCTTTTTATTTACTGTCAAAGCAAAAGGTTGCTAAATTGCTTTTAAATGACATTAGAAATTATATTACAATGTTTTATTTTGAATCTATTATCCATTTTCAACATACGTTCCAAAAACTTCTAGTCCTTCGGAATGCCCATTACTGCAGCTAGACTGAGTTCGAGCGACATCGTAATCTTTTCCAACACCTATCTGATAAGTTCTTTCAGCAAAGAAACGCTATCACCCGCTTAATTTTATAGGTGGAAAAACTGCAAATAACTTCATTGCTGGTTGGATTTTCTTAATAATTTCCTCTAAGAGATGCTTAAGTGCTAATTTGTTTACTTTATAGTATTTTTGAAAACTACAAACAAAAAAGGTGTGTCTTAAAACCAAATTAATATTAATTTGTATTTAAAAGGAATAAGGCAACTATTATTTGTTGCATTTCTTGCACCAGTTCTTGTACCGACTCTTGCTAAAATTCGAAATGTTATTGAAATGCATTCAAAACAACAATGTGTATTATTTTCGTATTTTTCGCTATCAAAAAATACAAATTCTGCCAAAAGACAATAAGAAAAATTTGATTTTTAGTTGTTTCCCCATTTTAACGGAACAGCTGTCTGCCAAGTAATTCAGAACAGGAAAATTTTATTCAAGGAAGAAATAAATTTTAGGAGTACCTAATATTTAAAATAGATATGAATGATTTTTAAAGATTTTACCTTATTTTTGGAACAAATTTCATCCATATTTAAGTCGACTTATCATATTTACATATAAGCTCGCAGGCTTAAAAATAAGTTGGATTGCAGGAATATTAACATATTAGTGTGATAAATTTTATTAAAAATTTAACCTAAAATTCTATTTAAATACCCTTAGGTTTACCTGTGCTTGGTACTTTTGGGTTAGAAGATCTCTTTTTTAAGTACGGTGTTGATGTTGAAATTTGGGCTCACGAACATTCATACGAACGTCTTTGGCCGATAAACAACTACACTGTTTTCAATGGCTCATTAACCGAACCTTATCGGAATCCTGCAGCACCAATACATATTATAACTGGATCTGCTGGCAATAAAGAAGGAAGAGAACCATTTTATAAAATCATTCCCAAATGGAGTGCTTTTCACAGTCAGGTAAATATTATTTAATTCAATTGTTAATTGAATTCAATTTTTTTTTTCAAATACCAAGGATTATGGATATACACGTTTGAAAGCCTTTAATTCAACACATTTATATTTTGAGCAAGTTTCCGATGATAAAAATGGTTCAATTATCGATAAATTTTGGGTTATTAAGGAATATCACGGTTCTTATATGTAAATGATACTTAGATATAGTAGATCTGTTCCACGAGTTACTCGTAAACACAAGTACAAACTGAGAGCGTAACTTAAATAAAATGAAAAATTACGCTCTTTACACAAATTTTTATGGTGCAGCTTATGGAGTGTGAAGTCTGGTGAGAACACCAGTACTTCGTTAATAAACAATACAAAAATTTAAATTCAAACCAAAACAGCAACACAAATTTTACTTGAAATAAAATGTACGTGTAATGTTTGTGTAGCGTTTTCAAATTTCGACAGGGATGTTACGCTCTCTCAGATGCTCTCATTTACTGGAAAATTTGCCGGTGGAACGCACTTGTGTATACACAGTGCTAGTCAAAGTTACTACAAGTAGCTCGTGGAATATACCTGTTGTGTTATTAGCTTTTATGATAATTTGTAATCTATAATATAACTTAGTTTTAATGTTAAACTAGTGGTACACGAAGCCACGCATTATAAGGCGTTTGCGATGCCTCGCAAGTGTGACCTATTGGCCTAGATAGAGAAAATAGTGTTGTTGTTTTGTGTACATTTCAGCCTGTATAGGCCAGCAACATGCTGTTTTTTGTCATTCTTCCGAACCATCGAAAACGCCTATTGTAATTAATTCATTATATTCAAATATGTTCTTTGGTTTAGTAAATACTAAATTCGAATAATTAAAAATAAAAATATTTAGTATATGAAATACAAACACTTTTGTATTTTTTATTAAAACTTTTTAAAAGTTGTTTTTTGATAGCTAGCTGCGACAATAATATATATTTTCAACAATATTGATGTAGAAGAAACAAAGCGATGACTAGTGAAGTCATCAAATTTGCTGTTAAACAAAATAAAGCATATGAATGAATTTCTGTACAATTTTTTTGCTGATAAATTTTTCACTTACCATCAAATTATTTTGAATCGATTTACAAATTGCTCTCCATAATGTAAAAGGCAGCAAGTTAAAAGCTACAGTCAGCATAAAACTACTTATTGCGTAAACTGTTATTGATTATCACAATATCACAGAAAAAGAAAATAAATATTTAATTAATGCCTCTATAAACAGAATAGTATTGAAGTTTAATAATTAAATTAAAATAATTAATAAATTCAATTATTCAATTATGGAAAAAAATCTTTTCTCGTTCAAGTGTTTAGACGCGTTTTTGTTTGCTTTGCTTTCAAATAATATAAATAGAGAAAGTGCGGTTCTTTAAATCTAAAGTTTGCCTAAATTCGCTTAAAATTTTAATGCTTGTGTTAAAGCTGGGAGGTGAATTTTGAATTAGTTCAGTTTTTAATTTCGATATAAATTAAAAACGACAAACAGATTGTGCCAAACTGAAAAAAAGCCTAAAATGAGTGTTCTCCCCCTGAACGCGGAAATAAGTTATTGCGGGAGTAAGTATATAAACAAATAAATTTATTAATTTATTGCCGTCTTCTTCTGCACGCAAAAGTGATCTTCTCACAGCGCATGCGCAGTGAGATCTTCTCCATTAACAAATGTTGCAAATCAGAATAACAATGAAAAACATGTAGCAGAGAAAATGTTGCAGAAAAATGTTTGTAATCAAAAATCGCCAAATTGCGCAACAAATAATTACGAACATGAGTCTATCAATATTGAAGATAAAAATAATATGCAAATGCTGCTAAACAAGACAGCGGCAATAAAATTCAGACAGGAATAGATTGTGATGGGATTTAATTTGAGATTTATTGAAAACACATTAATTATATGAAAAGTTTATTTTTATTTTATTTAATCATTTATTAGTATATTATTATTAGGATCTTAGTAAGATCACGTTCTACAATAGACTGTCTTCAGAAACTTATTCTAAATCTTACAATAGTTTCATTATTTATTTTTAAATGATATATTTATCTTATTCTAACAATATTCTCTTAATTCTAATTGGTTATTCTTATATGTGCGTGAAGATAGCGTCGACGATAAGTCCAAAATGGAATTGGAACATTTTTCGCCGCATGAAAAATGCAGTATAGTTTAATTAAGGAAAAATTTATTATTTTATTAAATTTAATGCAGCAAAAGGCATTATTAAGTAGAATATTGAATTAATTTACTATCTACATTCAACTTTTATGTGCAAATGATGTAATTTGTATGAAAAATGAAAAATAAAAATCAGCCCCAAAAGATGGGGTCACTAATTTATTAATAACTTTTAAACTAGAGGTACCATTTTCTTTTATGGCTCATTCGAAAGAGGATAAAATTACCTTTCATATAATGCAAAATTTTGTATAGGTTGTTTGATTAACTTAGGAGCAGTACTGCGATGAAGATAGAGATGTCATTTTCAAATATTATTTAATTAAAACTTTGTTACTTGACCAAAAATTATGAACTAAAAAGCTTATAACAATAAAAAATATGTTTGTATTTCTAAATATAATCGCTTTTTACATAATATAGAAAAAATTTTCTTCAAAATAAGGAAAATAAAATTTTGTAAAAATAGATTACTTTACAAAATTAATTTTATCTTTAAAAGCAGAGGTACCATTTTTCTGCAAATTAGCTTAATCGAAAGAGGACACTTCAAATTTTCATTTAATGTCTTCATATTTATAGATTGGTCGATTAACTTAAAAGTTATTGAGTGTCAAAGTTCAGAAATTAATTTTCCTTTAAAAACGACATTTTTCTTATAAAAAGCATATCCCAGTAGTCAGAAAAAAGTTTATATATAAATAACTTTCAATACAATACTCTAATAAGCACAATTATTTGAAAAAAATCGAAATTAGTTTAATTTTATTAATTATTCAAAAAATCTGTACAAAGTTGGTTAATAGATGGCATACCATCTTAAATTAAATTCGCTGAAAAATTAAAATGGTACTGAAAAACATAATGTACAGTTGCAGAGTTATTGGTAAGTCCATAGTACTGCAAAAGAAAAGCTAACGTCGAATTTTTATTAAACTTGCTGCATCAAAGATATTATCAAAATAAGAAACTAGAATTTTTTCTAAAACTATTGATATACAATATTATATATCTTATTCGATTAACAAATTATATATAATTAAATTAAATGTGAACTAACTTGGACATGCACAACAGTTGAAATTGCGCTGATGATATATGTCGGATATTAAGGGCGTGTGCGAGTTAGGCTAAGTTGATGCTAAACCAAATGGGAGATTTTTTGGAATATTTTGCACTGCACTCATTTAGTCATTTATTAACACGTATCGACACATCACTATATTATCGGCACAACTTAGAATTTCCCTCATTTAGAACGCAACTTAGCCTAACTCGCACACTTCCTAAATATCAAAATATAGTTAGCGTCGAATTTTTATTAAGATTACTGCATCTAAGATATTATTTGAACAAAAAACTAGAATTTTTCTAAGCCAATTAATGTCTAATACTATATATATTGTAGTGGACCTACCTCACTTACTTCTTAGCCACTTAACATTACTCATAAATAATAATAATAAGCAGATTTATGAATTGGTTGCACTTCATGCATACCGTACAAGAAGCATAAGCAAAGCGACATAAACAAAAGAGTTTCGTATTACCAACGAAAGTATTGCCACACGCTGTTCCAATTGCTGAACACATGTTACAATATTTTCAATAGTAATATTTCCTATATTGCAAAAGACATGTGCAAGCAATATTGTCAATGCACTCTAATAATAACTTTGACGTTTGACCTAAATGAGCAAACAGTGTAGTCGCTATGCAATGCATTCTGCAAGGTCAGCAATCACTTTGATTGGCTGCGGTTATACTTTTCCAGGTTTTGTCTGGAATAAAGAGGCGGAGTCATGAGATCGCTATAATCTAGAAAAATGTATAAATACCCAAACTATTGTTCAATAAACAAAGAATATACTTATGACTGCAGAAATATATGCGTTATTGAATTTATTCTCACTCCTTCTGGCCAAGTAACACTGGCCTAGGTACCAGCGGTAACAAGCCGCTTGATAACTTGTTCTTGATTGCATCAGTAGGTTTAGGATGCATGCTTGCATCAGGCAGGGATAAATACACGCACTCACAGACAAGTATTACGTCTCATTTACCTGACGATCCTGTCTACATCTGAACGGGTTAACACATTACATGGTGATCCAGCCATTACATTGATTGAATATTGCCCATACATCCATTCATACATTACATGGCGATCCTGCCATTCATTACACTAGTTCTATTACAAAGAAGTTACATTACATGGCGATCATTACATTACAATATTGTTCGATTAACAAATTAAATAAAATTAATTAAATTATGCGCTAACTTGTGAATGCAAAACAGTTTAATTTGCATTGATGATAAATTTGAGAAATTTAATGTCAAAATATAGTTAGCGTCGATTTTTTACTACGATGTCATTTCAAATTTTAATTAATTAAAACATTATTATTTAATTAAAAACTATGAAACAAAAGACAGATAACAGTAAAAAATTTGTTTGGTTTTCTAAATATACTTAGTTTTTATACTTAGTATAGAGCAAATTTTCTTTAAAAATGGAAAGCAAAAATTTGTAAAAACAAAGTTACATTATAAAATTAATTATATCTTTAAAAGCAGAGATACCATTTTTCTGCAAATTAGCTTAATAGAAAGGGGACACTTCAAACTTTCATTTGATGTAATAATATTTATAGATTGGTTGATTAACTTAAAAGTTATTGAGTGTCAAAGTTCAGAAACTAATTTTCTTTGATACAAAATTAATTATATCTTTAAAAGCAGAGATACCATTTGTAGTAGTATATAGTATTTAGAGTAAGTATTTAGTATAAGTGCTTAGTTCATAAGTTTAGTAATTAGTTCATCATTGTAATATTACACATAAGAAAATGTACATGGCAACTCTAGTTTGTCAAATTCAATTGATATGTATCATGAAAATAAAGAAGTCAGTATATTACTGACAACCGAAGAGATGATGCGTTTTGTACTTAGAGTTGCTCGACTACAATTCATCAGAAGTGGTTTTTCGGAAAAAAATATTTTCCCGTACTCGCGTTCCGTAGTAAATTTTAGTTTGAACAAAAATTCTTTTTCAAAGAAATTTAAATAAAGTGTTTAACTCATAAAAACCATATAATAAACAATAATAAATTTTTTTATATACTAAAAGAGTGAATTACAAAGTTATCTCTTTTGAAACAATAAGTGAAAGTGAAAAACACACCAGAAATATACAATACAAATTTAAAAAAAAAATTAATTAAATTATAATGGAGACATCACAAGAAATATTTAAATTAAAAGCAACCCAATTGAAGGAATGGCTAGATCAATTGGGCTTGCCAACAAATGGAACGAAAGCAGCATTGGTGGCGCGTTTGTGTGAGGTACCACACGAATTACGTGGTAATCCACCAAAAAGTGCGTGCGGTGATGAAAATGAAACAAAAACATCAGGAGACGGCGAGGCGAGCAACAGCGATATTGAGAAAGGTGACGCTGCGTTGCTACAGCAACAAACAAATACAAACTGATCGAAGTCAAAATGAGTGCAAAAATAAGGGAAACAAACAAATTGAGTGTAACCAAAATGAAGGCATTGAAAACGAGTGTAACAAAAACGAATGTGAACAAATTGAGTGTAACCATACTGAAGGCATTGAAAACATATGTAATAAAAACGAAAGTAAGCGAATTGAGTGCAACC